ACAACTTATATTCTAATACGAAAAAAAGCATGACACATTATGACACCAATATAGGGTGGCATCAATCAATCTAAGACTGGGAGAAAAAGACTTCAAGAAGTATATTTTGAGGCCAGGCGTGGTGGCTCACTCCTATAATCCCAGCACTTTGGGAGGCTGAGGCAGGCAGATAACTTGAGGTCAGGAGTTCAAGACCAGCCTGGCCAATATGGTGAAACCCTGTCTCTACTAGAAATACAAAAATCTGGTGGCGGCGGACACCTGTAGTCCTAGCTGCTCAGAAGGCTGAGGCAGGAGAATCGCTTGAACTTGAGAGGCGAAGGTTGCAGTGAGCTGAGATAGCACCACTGCACTCCAGCCTGAGTGTTGCAGTGAGACTCCATCTCAAAATAAATAACAAGTATGATATTTTGAAATGATTGAAATAAATACTAAAATGACAATAACTATTAGATTTGAAGGAGTGATGAAACACAGAGTATAGAACTACATTTTTTTTTTAATTTGAATCTCACAAAACTATTTGGTTTTTAAAATATATACAAGGATACCTTTGATTTTTTTAATTAAAAATTTTAAACAAGAAAGCCTATATTTACCTCACCAAAAAAGAGGCAATAACATTGTTAGGCATGAGTTGAAAAAGGGTTGTTTATCCAGAACACAAGCTTAACAATCATTCTATGTTACATCAGGTGTGTTGAAAGAAGGGCTGTGAGAGCTCAGGAAAGCTAGGAAGGCTGGTGTTTTCCTGCAGCCATCTCATTCACAAAGTGGTAGAGATTGGGCAGTAAACTACTGCATAGTTCTGCTTTTGAGCTGACTCTATTTAATGATATGCCTAGGCATCATCTAAGTTCCATTCATATCTATGTATTTCAACAGAAAATTTGTTTAAATGTTTAACCAGGATATGCTAATTTTCTTAACCTGAGACTCCAAGATAGACAGTTTTGTCTTTCTTAAGACAGAGTCTCACACTCTGTCACCCAGGCAAGAATGCAGTGGTGCCATCTCAGCGCACTGCAACCTCCACCTCCTGGGTTCAAGCAATTCTTCTGCCTCAGATTCCAGAGTAGCTGGGATTACAGGTGCCTGCCACCAGGCCTGGCTGATTTTTATATTTTTAGTAGAGACGGAGTTTCACCATGTTGGCCAGGCTGATCTTGAATTCCTGACCGCAAGTTATCCGCCTGCCTCAGCCTCCCAAAGTGCTGGGATTACAGGCATGAGCCACAGTGGGATACTTATATTAAACTCAACTAGAGGAAGTGCTGAGCACATACTAGAAGCAAAAACTATGCTAAGGTTTGGACAAGGGTTGATTTTCTGCCCACCTACATTTACTCAAAAGCAAATACACAGCCAGGTATGATGGCTCACATCTGTAATACCAGTGCTTTGGGAGGCCACAGCAGGAGGACCGCCTGAGGCCAGGCATCAAGACCAACCTGGTCAATATAGTGAGACCTACCTCATCTTTATTTTTAAAATGCAGGCCGGGCACAGTAGCTCACACCTATAATCCCAGCACTCTGGGAGGCCAAGGTGGGTAGATCATCTGAGGTCAGGAGTTTGAAACCAGCCTGGCCAACATGGTGAAACCCCGTTTCTACTTAAAAATATATAAAAATTAGCCCGGCATGATGGCTGACACTTGTCGTTCCAGCTACTCGGGAGGCTGAGGCATGAAAATCACTTGAACCCAGGAGGCAGAGGTTGCAGTGAGCCAAGATGGCACCACTGCACTCCAGCCTGGACAACAGAGTGAGTCTCAGTCTCAAAACAAAACAAACAAAAAAAGCAAATACAATTGTCCCTCAGCATCTGTGGGGGACTGGTTCCACAAACCACCCATAGATACCAAAATCCATGATGCTCAAGTCCTTTACATAAAATGGCATAGTATTTGCATACAAGCTATACACATTATCTCATATACTTTATCTCTTACTCTTACTTATAATACCTAGTGCAATGTAAAGCTATGTAAGTAATCATACTGCATCGTTCAGTAAATAATGACAAAAAAGAAAACTCTATACCTGTTCAGTACAGACACAACGATCCTTTTTTTTATTTCCAAATATCAAATTGCAGGAAGGAAAGCCGAGAAATGACACCACATCTAGACAGACTTTGTCACAGGCTATCATCCCTTCTCAGATCCCATTTCTCAAGAGAACCACTTATAAACAATTTTCTGCTCTTTGGGCCCATTCAACTTTCCTGAGAATCATTTACTAACTCTCAAAATTGACTACATTTCTCCATCTCTCTCCTCATGAAGAAAGCACTATGGAAGCTTCAGCCATCAGGCCCTTCTGTAAGTCTCATATTTTGTGTGGCTCTCGTGCACATGTATGCTTTTTCTCCAGTTAATCTATTGCCAATTTATTTCAGAGGGAGAGGGGAAAATTCCCTTCACCTCTACAAAAACTAAACCTAAACTACAAAACTACTCGCATGTCATAACTTTAGCTGTCACATTTGAAAATGATGAAGTACAGCTCTTAGATTATGGGCTTTGTATTGGAATCCAGACAGAACTAGTTTAAATTCTAGTTCCACATCTTAAAAGCAGTGTGACCTCACCACCTGTAAAACAAGATAACTTCTACATTAGATAAGATAATATGTATATAAACCTCTTTGACCATATTGAGAGCTCAATCAATGGAACGTAAGCAGCTTATTTTTCCAGATTGTCATTGTCTCATTGATTGATTGATCCACTGAGACAAGGTCACCCAGGCTGGAGTACAGTGGCATAATCATGGCTCACTGCAGCCTCAACCTCCCAGGCTCAGGCAATCCTCCTGCCTCATCCTCTCAAGTAGCTGGAACCACAGGCACATGCAACTATGCCTGGCTAATTTTTTAAAATTTTTTGTAGAGACAAGGTCTCACTATATTTGTTTTTTGTGACAGAGTCATGCTCTGTCACCCAGGCTGGAGTTTAGTGGCGTGATCTTGGCTCACTGTAACTTTCCCCTCCCAGGTTCAAGTGATTCTCCTGCCTCAGCCTCCCAAGTAGCTGGGACTACAGACATGCACCACCACACCCAGCTAATTTTTTCTGTTTTTTTAGTAGAGACAGAATTGGTCAGGCTAGTCTCGAGCTCCTGACTTCAAATGATCCGCCTGCCTTGGCCTCCCAAAGTGCTGGGATTACACGCATGAGCCTCTGCACCAGGCCCTAATTCATGAAATAGGGATATTACAACAATATACGATTGGTCAAAGAAAAATTCCATAAAAAAAAAATTATTCAAGCCTCTTAAAATACAATCTAGGCCTAAGGAGGAATAAACCTTAATTACTCAAAGATAAACAGAAGTTAACTTCAAAACTATTAAAAGTAATACCTCTAATTATAACCAAAACAAGTGGGCAGTTAAAGCAACCTGAGTACCACCAAAGGAATGTGTCCAATCCAGTCCACACCCCTAGCCATACAGGCTCAACCCTCTCGTTAAAGGTATAGCGCCCTCTTTGTCTTCAATTCTGTCAACAAACAGCATAATGAAGCAAAATGTAGTATCTATTAGTAAGAAAAAGTTATACTTAAAAAATCCTTTCATTTTATCACAACCCAGATATTTCTCCCAGTAAGAAAAAAAACACTGCCAATTTTTAAGTACTTTTTCCATGCCTTTGGAACAATACCGAAATTACAAACAAAATTGCGGGACCCTGAAAAATGTCAGCTACACTTCCCGAAAGACAAAAGAAAAAGAATACTTCTAATTTTATGACATAACAGCATGATTCTTCTAACTCTAAAAAGTAAAGCCAAGTTAAAAAACAATTCCACATCTTAGATACTTAATTATATGATAATTTTAAGAATAGAATTTTTTTTTTAATAGAGATGGGCTTTCACTATGTTGGCCAGGACGGTCTCGATCTCCTGACCTTGTGATCCACCCACCTCGACCTCCCAAAGTGCTGGGATTACAGGCATGAGCCACCTCGACTGGCAAGAAAAAAAAAAAAAGAATAGAATTGGCCAAGCAATTGGTTCATGCCTATAACGCCCACACTTTAGGAGGCCAAGTGGGAGGATCACTTGAGCCCAGGATTTCGAGACCAGCCTAGGCAACACAGTAAGACCCTGTCTCCATTTAAAAGTGTTAAAAATTGGGCTGAGCACAGTGCCTCATGCCTGTAATCCCAGCACTTTGGGAGGCGAGGCAGGCAGATCACCTGAGGTCAGGAGTTCAAGACAAGCCTGACCAGCATAGAGAAACCCCGTCTCTACTAAAAATACAAAATTAGGGCCAGGCACAGTGGCTCATGCCTGTAATCCGAGCACTTTGGGAGGCCAAGGTGCGTGGATCACGAGGTCAGGAATTTGAGACCAGCCTGGATAACATGGTGAAACTCTGTCACTACTAAAGATACAAAAGATTAGCCAGGCATGGTAGCAGACGCCTGTAGTTCCAGCTACTTGGGAGACTGAGGCAGGAGAATCACTTGAACCTAGGAGGCAGAGGTTGCAGCAAGCTAAGATCATGCCACTGCACTCCAGCCTGGGCAACAGGGCTAGACTCCACCTCAAAAAAAAAAGCAAAATTAGCCAGGCATGGTGGCACATGCCTGTAATCCCAGCTACATGGGAGGCTGAGGCAAGAGAATCACCTGAAGCTGGGAGGCAGAGGTTGCAGTGAGCTGAGGTCAAGCCATTGCACTCCAGCCTGGGCAACAAGAGCAAAACTCCGTCTCAAATATATATATATATATATATACATACACAAAAACGAAAATTACCTGGACATGGTGATGTACGCCTGTAATCCCAGATACTCGAGAGGTTGAGGCAGAAGAAACGTTTAAACATGGGAGGCGGAGGTTGCAGTGAGCTGAGATCATACCACTGCACTCCAGCCTGAGTGAAAGCATGAGACTCTCTCAAAAAAAAAGTATCTACAGATTTCACATAAGCTAACATGCTGGAAAGTATAATGTTTTAGGTATTCAACCATATGCGTACTTACAGGGATGCTCCAGACCTGCATTCCATCACTGTAGCCAATCATAATCAGCAAAGGTGGTTCATTCCCAGTGCTGTGTATTTCATGAAATTCCAGATTTCTTGATGTATCTGCATTAGAATTAAGTAACAAAGAAGCAAATTTAAAAGACAATGTCAATCAAGAAAACAACTGTACTTCTTTAATGCCTAATTCGATATTTATGTCTCTCTAGTAACTACCATCTCTTCTCTTCATAGCCAGAACTCTCAAAGTTGTCCATCCTGGCTAGTTCCTTATCTATCTGTCATTCCTTGGCCCATTTCAACATAGCTTCCAGCCACACCATTTAAACAATATCAAACATTTAAGAGAGGCCAAGGTAGGAGGATCACCTGAGGCCAGGAGTTCAAAACCAGACTGGGCAACATAGCAAGATCCTGTCTCTATAAAAATAACAACAATAATAATTAGCTAGACTTGGTGGCACACACTTATAGTCCCAGATACTCTGGAAACTGAAGTGGAAGAAGGATTTGGCAAAGAATTCAGGGCTGTAGTGAGCTATGATGGCACCACTATACTCCAGCCTAGGTGACAGAGTGAGGACCTGGCTCTAGAAATAATAACATCAATTCTACACAAACTTTTTTTTTTTGAGACAGAATCTCATTCTTTCATTCAGGCTGGAGTACAGTGGTACCATCATAGCTCACTGCAGTCTTGACCTTCTAGGCTCATGTGATCCTCCCACCTCAGCCTCCCAAGCAGCTGGGACTACAGGCATGTGACATAATGCCCAGCTAATTTTTTGTATTTTTTGTAGAGACAGGGTTTCGCCATGTTGCCCAGGCTGGTCTCAAACTCCTGAGCTCAAGCAATCCACGCGTCTCAGCTTCCCGAAGTGCTGAGATTATAGGCATGAGCCATTGTGTCTGGCCTTACACACTTTTCTAAAAAAACAGAAGAGAAGGAAAGAAGTACCAACTCATTATGGGGCAACCAAAACCAGACTAAGGTATTATAAGAAAACTATAAATCAAAACTCCTCATGAATGTAGATATAAAAATACAAAGACTAGCAAATTGAATTTCACAATATAGAAAGGATAATCAATCACTAAAATACAGGGTTTATCCAAGAAATGTAAGATGGTCTAACATTGGAAAAAACAATTACAATTTGCCAACAATAACAGAATAAAGGAGAAAAAATATATGATCTTTCAACAGATGTTTAAAAAAAGCATTTGGTAAAATGCAACAGCTATTTTATTTTTTAAAAAACTCAGCACACAAGGCAAGGCGTGGTGGCTCACACCTGTAATCCAAGCACTTTGGAGGCCAAGGTGGGCGGATCACCTGAGGTCGGAAGTTCAAGACCAGACTGACCAACATGGTGAAACCCCGTCTTTTTATTTAAAAAAAAAAAAAAAAAACCCTCAGCAAACCAAGAACAAAGCATGTCTATGAAAACACGATAGCTAACATCACACTTATGGTAAAAGACTGAATGCTTCCTCCCAATGAGGCAGAACAAGGCAAAGATGCCCAAACTTAAAACATACTCAACATTATACTACAGGCCCTAGATAGTACAATTAGGAACGAAAAATAAAGGACATAAAGATTGGACGTGGAAAAGTACAGTTGACCCTTGAACAATGTGAAGGGATGCCGAGTCCCCCACATCCCCCAATGCAATCAAAATCCATGTATAGGCCGAGCATGGTGGCTTGCACCTATAATCCCAGCACTTTGGGAGGCCAAGGTGGGCATACTGCTTGAGCCCAGGAGTTTGAGACTAGCCTGGGCAACATGGAGAAACCCCATCTCTACAAATAATACAAAAATTAGCTGGGTATGGTGACAAACGCCTGTAGTCCCAGTTGCTAGGGAGGCTGAAGTGGGAAGATCACTTGAGCTCGGGAGGTCAAGGATGCAGTAAACTGAGATTATATCACTGCACTCCACTCCAGCCTGGGTGACAGAGCAGGACTCTGTCCCAAAAAAAAAAAAAGAAAAAAAAAAAAAGAAAGTATAAGGTTTTAGGGTCTTTTTTTAAATTGCATTTTAGGTTTGGGGTACATGTGAAGAAAATGCAAGATTGTTGCATAGGTACACCTGTGGCAGTGTGATGTGCTGCCTTCCTCCCCTTCACCTATATCTGGCATTTCTCCCCCTGCTATCTCTCCCCAACTCCCCACCCCCCGCTGTCCCCTGCTATCTCTCCCCAACTCCCTGTCCCCGCTGTCTCTGTCCATCACAGACCCCAGTGTGTGATGCTCCCCTCCCTGTGTCCATGTGTTCTCATTGTTCACCACCCGCCTATGAGTGAGAACATGCAGTGTTTGATTTTCTGCTCTTGTGTCAGTTTGCTGAGAATGATGGTTTCCAGGTTCATCAGGGTCTTTTTTTTTGTTTGTTTTGAGACAGAGTCTCACTCTGTCACCCAGGCCAGAGTGCAGTGGCATGATCTCAGCTCACTGCAGCCTCCACCACACCTGGCTAATTTTTGCATTTTTACTATATACAGGGTTTTGCCATGTTGCCCAGGCTGGTCTCAAGTGCCTGGCCTCAAGTGATCCGTCCACCTTGGCCTTCCAAAGTGCTAGGACAGAATATAGGCATGTATAAGTTTTGACTCACCCAAAAACTTAACTGCTAATAGCTTACCACTGGCCAGAAGGCTTACTGTTAACATAAACAGTCAATTAACACGTATTTTGTATGTTATATGTTTTATATACTGTATTCTTAGAATATACATAAGCAAATCCATTAAATGGAAGCAGGTCTTCAAAAAAGTCTTCATGACCGGGAGCTATGGCTCACGCCTGTGATCCCAACACTTTGGGAGGCCAAGGTGGGTGGATCACCTGAGGTCAAGAGTTCGAGACCAGCCTGACCAACATGGAGAAACCTCATCTCTACTAAAAATACAAAATTAGCCAGTCATGGTGGCGCATGCCTGTAATCCCAGCTATTCGGGAGGCTAAGCCAGGAAAATTGCTTAAACCCAGGAGGCGGAGGTTGTGGTGAGCCAAGATCGCACCATTACACTCCAGCCTGGGCAACAAGAGTGAAACTCTGTCTCAAAA